CGGAAAAAATTGCGGACATGGTTCGCAAAGATGCGAGAGTTGTAGCCGAGGACAGGACCTCAACTTTCCCCCCCACCCCCCCCACTCCCCCACTCCCCCATCCCCTATCCCCCCCCACCGTATCACAAACACCATGTTCCGCATAGCCTCGCTGGCAAGAACATGCCCCCCACAGACAGGCCTCTTCCCCGTGGCTGGACTGGCATGGCGCTGGAGTGTGGCAGGCGGTAGCTGGCGTGGCTACGCGACAGCCGCTGCCGGCGGAGCAGGCGACGACGAGCAGGCCAAGAAGGAGGGCAAGCCAGAGACGAAGGCGGCGATGGGCAAGGCGGGAGGAGTCGGCAGAGGAAAGGACGGAGAGAGCTCGGACATGAAGATCGTGAGCAGACTGCTGCCCTATCTTTGGCCCAAGGACTCCAAGGCGCTCCGGACTCGGGTCGCCTTCTCGCTCGCCTGCCTCCTCGGCGGCAAGGTGCTCAACGTCCAGGTTCCGATTCTTTTCAAGACGGCGGTAGACAGGCTGTCCGAGATGAGCGCGGCAACGAGTGCTGCGGCGAGTGCTGCTGTGGGCGATGCTGCTGCTGCTGCGGCTGCGGCAGCGCCGGAGATGATGGTGGCGGCGCCGATGGCGGTGCTGCTCGGGTACGGCGCGGCACGGACGGCGGCGTTTGGACTCTCTGAGCTCCGCTCGGCGGTGTTTGCCACGGTAACACAGTCTGCCATCCGGTCGATTGCGCTGCGGACGTTCAAGCACCTCCACGCCATGGACCTCTCGTACCACCTCGGGCGGCAGACTGGGGCGCTGGCGCGGTCGATCGAGCGCGGCTCGCGTGGTATTAACTTTCTGCTCTCGGCCATTCTCTTCAACATTGCGCCGACGCTGTTTGAGATCTCGCTGGTGTGCGGCATTCTCTGGTCGCAGTTTGGCGCCGAGTACGCCGCCGTGACGGTGGCGACCATGTCGGCGTACACCGCGTTCACCTTTGGCATCACCTCGTGGCGGACCAAGTTCCGCAAGCAGATGAACGCTGCTGACTCGGAGGCCGGGACCAAGGTCATCGACTCGCTCATCAACTACGAGACGGTCAAGTACTTTACCAACGAGGACCACGAGGCGAAGCGTTACGATGCTGCGCTGGCAAAGTACGAGACGGCGGCGGTGAAGACCTCGCAGTCACTGGCAGGGCTCAACTTTGGCCAGTCGGCCATCTTCTCCGTCGCGCTCACCACCATGATGGTGATGGCCGGCAACGGGGTCGCCGCCGGCGACATGACCGTCGGCGACCTCGTCATGGTCAACGGCCTCCTCTTCCAGCTCTCACTCCCGCTCAACTTCCTCGGCTCAGTCTATCGCGAGATGCGCCAGGCGCTGGTCGACATGGAGACCATGTTTGGCCTCCTCGACGTCCAGCCCAAGATTGCCGATGCGCCCGACGCCGTGGCGTACACCGCGCCGGCGACCGGCGCGCCCGGCGAGCTTGTTTTCTCGGACGTCAAGTTCTCGTACGTTGACGGCAAGCCGCTGCTGAACGGCGTCTCGTTCACCGCGCCGGCAGGCTCCAAGGTCGCCATCGTCGGCGGCTCGGGCTCGGGCAAGTCGACCATCCTGCGCCTCCTCTTCCGCATGTTTGACCCCGAGTCGGGCTCGATCACGCTCGACGGCCAGCCGCTGGCCAAGCTCAAGCTCCACGACCTGCGGTCGCTCTTTGGCGTCATTCCGCAGGACACGGTCCTGTTCAATGACACCATCCGCTACAACATCGGCTACGGCGACCTGGGCGCGTCGCAGGCCGACATCGAGGCTGCCGCGTCGGCCGCACAGATCCACGACGCCATCCTCGCCATGCCCAACGGGTACGACACCGTCGTCGGCGAGCGCGGCCTCAAGCTCTCCGGCGGCGAGAAGCAGCGGGTCGCCATTGCGCGGACGCTGCTGAAGAATCCGGTCATCCTCCTCTCCGACGAGGCCACCTCGGCGCTCGACTCCAAGACCGAGGCCCAGATCGCGGCGCTCTCGTCGTCGGTCGGCACCGGCGCCGGCCGGACCGAAATCGTTGTCGCCCACCGGCTCTCCACCGTCGTCGACGCCGACAAAATCATTGTCCTCCGTGACGGCCGTGTTGCCGAGTCGGGTTCGCACCACGAGCTCGTTGCCCGCGGCGGCGAGTATGCTTCCATGTGGGAGCGCCAGGCGTCGGTTATCGACGATCTCGCTGCCGCGCCTGCCTCGGCGCCGTCGCCGGCGTGATGGTACACACCCTCTACGGCACATCACCACAAACTCGCTACACCACTGGCACAACCCACGCCGACGGGAGTGTGCGTTACGCAACGATGATGAACCGGCCTGGAACCACCATTGATTCAACGATTAATTCAACGAGTGAGTTATTGTTAGCTGGCGGCCTTTCTTCACGCTTTTGATCGTTACGCCTTTGTGTGACAGGACCCAACAAACAAATGAACGAACAAACGAACGAACAAACGAACGAACGAACGAACGAACTGAAGCGAACGAACCGAAGCGAACGAAAAATATTCGATGGTCTCCGTCATCAGGCGAGCAGCAAGGCAGCAGGCAGGGCGAGGGTACACTCAACTCTCCCTTCACCATGGCCAAGGGCAAGAAGAGCAAGGACTACTCGTACGGTTCGTACGACGACTACAACTACGATGCCGACGGAACCTGGTTCCGCACCTGGGGCAACGACTGCTGTGTCGGCTGGCAGCGGATCTTCCTCTTTGTCACCGGCGTCCTCTTTTTCATCGTCGCCGTTTACCAGGCTTCCCATGCCGGTGACTACATCAACCGCAACATGAAGAGCACCGACTCCACCAAGGCGAACGCCATCTCCTCGGAGGTCATCTCGTTTGCTGAGGGTGGCTCCCTTGTTTCCGCTGCCGCCGCTGTACGCTCCCTCCCTCCCTCTCCCTTCCCCTGCCCCTGTCCCAGCTGACCTGACCCAGTTCGTTTCCCCCCCTTGCTAACCCCCCCCCCCCCTCCCACCACCACTACCCGGACGGTTCGTCCTTCTCCACTTGCCCCTACAGTCCCTACAGCCCCAGCAGTCCCTGCGGCCCCTGCAAGAACCCCCCCCTCCCCCTCCCCCTTCCCTGCTCTGCTCTACACGGCAAAAAACTTCCGTTGGCGCCAGGCAACCAACCAATCGATCACCCCCACCTCCTCCTCCCTCCTCCCTCCCCCCTCTCCCCCCACCACTGCCCCCACCACTGCCCCCACCACTGCCCCCACTCTTTCCTTTCCCTTCACCATTCTGTTCCTTCCTCCTTCCCTCTCTCTCTCCCACCCTCCCTCCCTCCCCCCCCCCCCCACCCCTGTTTTCTCCTCTGTCCCGCACTCGCCCGTGGGTGGCCTTTTTTTCTCCTGCCACGGCCAGCTCCGCCACCACTCACCACAAACCACAACCTCTGCCTTTTGGACTGCTTGCACAGATCGCGATTGTTTGGCATGTGCTCAAGTGGAACGTTGCCTCGCGCCACATGACCAACGTTCTTGTCTGCCTCTCGCTCGGGATCCAGATTGCCTGCGTCGGTTTCTTCTCGCGCCAGATGAAGGACAACAAGCCGTCGTCTGGCGATGGCGACCTCGATGCTGCTATCACGGGCGCCGGTGCCGCGTCTGTGGTCAACGCCGGTCTCTCGATCTTTGCGCTGGTCTTCCTCCAGCTCTTCGCGGCCGACTTTATGTCCGCCCAGGGCCAGACCAACTGCTGCGACAACATGGGCTGCGCCACCTCGAACGACTGCGCCTGCGACTGCGGCTGCTTCGGCTGCACCGGTGGCCGGCTTATTGTCTTTGTGACCGGCATTCTGGCCATTGTTGTGGCCGTCGCCCGTGTCGGCAACTACGCGTCGATTGTGTCGGACCTCTTTGACAGCAAGACCGTCGTTGGCAACCACACGGCCGATGAGCTGTACGGCAACTACGCGATTGCGCTCATCCTCAACCTTGCTGTCCCCGGCATTGTTCTCCTCCACGCCTTTGTGTGGAACGTCAACTCGCAGACGGCGGTGCTTGTTATCGGCTTTGCCGGCATCATCAACGACGCCTGGTCGTTTGTCTACTCGTCGGTCTTCCTCAAGGAGGAGAAGCCGGCCAGTGGCGCTGACAACGACGATCGCCTTGTCTCCCTGGCCTCGCTCGCCATCGTCTCGCTCGCTTTCTCGATTGCCAACTGGGTTCTGGTCTGGTTCTTCTCGGACAACTTCTTCAAGCATGACGTCGAGGAGGACGAGTCCGAGGAGGAGGAGGAGTGCTGCGACACCATGTGCTACTGGATCGGCCGCTCGACTGCGCGCCTCATCCTCTTTGTGCTCCTTGCTGTCGGCCTTGTCATCTACATTGTCCGCTTCGGCATTGCCGGCGACCTCCAGTCGCGCATCCACGACAGCGAGCTCGACTCGTCCAAGGCCGCGCCCAAGGGCAATGCCGCGTCGCGCTTCCTCACCTCCACCTCGCTCTACGGTGCCCCGATGGGTGCTGCGGTCACCTTCTTCATTGGCCTCGGCCACATGTGGTTCTGGAACCGCACCACGGCCATCGCTACCTCGGCCGCGTTCATGATCCTCTTTGTCTCGGACATTGCCTCGGCTGGCTACGGCTTCAAGCAGACGCAGCTGTACAACAAGAACAAGGACACCAGCCCCAAGCCCGACGACAAGTACGTCTCGCTCGAGTCGTTTGCTTTCATCTCGTCCGTCATTGCCCTCATCGTCTTTGTCGTTGCCATCTTCTTCTCGTGCGGCTTCAACAAGGCCGACCGCGGCGAGCTCCGCGCCGGCCACGTCGACGACTCGGAGGCCTCGGGCGACGAGTACACCTACGCTACCGCCGACGACTACTCGTACTAAGCCATCTGCAGGTGTCGTATGCTCTTGTCCGCCGTCGTGGAGCGCCGGTCCTCGGTGCTCCACTGCGATAAACGCTTGCATGCAATGCCTCCCTGCCCGCCCGCCAGACACAGCCTTGCCCGCCCCGTCACCCTGTCCCCATCCGTGACATGTGCGCTCCCCACCATTCGCCACGTGACTGGTGAAGGTTGTGATCACGGCTGCGATCACCGCCACCTCACCCCCCCCCCCCCCCCATCCCCCTCCACCGCCATGGCGGGCAAGAAACCGACTCGCGAGCACTGGCGGCCAAACGAGTCTGCCACACACTGTTCCCACCCCGGCTGTGGCACAGCATTCACCTTCTTCTCCCGCCGCCACCATTGCCGAAAGTACGACCCTTTTCCACCTCCCGCCCTCCCCTCCCCTTCTTCCCCCCCCCTCCCCCCCCTCCCCCTCCCTCCCTCCCTCCCTCCCCTCCCCTCCCCTCCTCACCCTCACCCTCACCCTCCCCTCTCCTCCACCCATTTCACTCCAACCAGATGTGGTAATATCTTCTGCTCGTCGCACTGCACAAAGGAGCTTCAGCTGAACCAAGACGCCGAGCCGTGCCTGGCCGACGGCACGTTCTGCAGAGTGTGCGACCCGTGTCACGCCATCGGCTACTCTGAGGTTCTGCCGCTGTCTGCGGCTGCAGCTGCGGCTGCAGCGGCTACATCGACCGAAGCTGCGGCGGCGGCTGCTGGTCTTCCGATTGACGCGGCCCATGCGCGACATCACAACCCTTCGCATCCATCGTACGGCGGCCTGCCGGTGGCGATGGCGGTGCCAGTGGATGTCGGCCCGGCCCGGTTTGCGCTGGCCAACCCTGAGCATGTGCCGAGCGAGGTGGCGACCGACGCCGGCGAGGCGGTTGCGGTGGGTAGCGTCATTGATGACGTCCGCACCGTGTTTGACAACCTCAATCTCGTTGCCGAGCTCGTCCATCAGCTGCCGACGCTCGAGGCCAAGTTTGAGGTCGTGATCGAGAACCGGTCTGCGCTGGACGCCGGTCTGCCCATCCTCAACCACGCGCTCACGCTCTTTTCCGCGCTCCTCGACGGCGACTCGCTGAGAGACGCCCCGTCGGTGTACAACTACTTTGTGCTTGCCAGCAAGGACATCGCCGCCGCCATCGACTGGCTCGGCCGCATCGACGACGTTGTTCTGAGCGCACCCATCGCCGCTCCCGCTACTGCTGCGGCAGTTGCGGCGAACGAGCTCAGCGGTGGGGCCGGCGCCGGCGCCGGCTCTTGCTCCGACTCGGACAGCGAGTCGCACGATCTTGTGGCGGCGCCTGCTGCAGCTACGCTCCCGCCGTCGCGCCCTGCTCCCGCCTTTACGCCTGCTCCTCCCGCTGCAGTCAGCGACAACACAACGACCTCGGCTGTTGCTACGCTTGTGGCCAAGCATGAGGCCGACGTCGAGGCAACAGTGACGAGCCTACTCGGCGCAAGCGACGCCGACCGCGAGGCGCTGCAGCAGCAGCTGCGCTACCAGCGCAAGCGGCTGCGGGCCGACGCGGCGCGGGTGGCGGCCATGGACGCTTCAGTCCTTGCCGAGGACGACCGGCTCCGGTTCAGCCAGCGGCTCGCGTCGGTTGGCGAGTACCTCGAAGGCTACGCCGCGAGCGTCCTCGCCGCAGGCTTTGAAGACGTGACCGGGCGCGTGTCGGCGCTGGAGGAGTCGTTCTACAATCTCCTCACCGCGCTTGATGCGCTCGACTCGAGCGACGAGGCCGGCGCCGCCGCTATCTCGGCCGACATCAAAGAGGCCGGCAAGAAGTATGCAAGCTACCGCTCCGAGCTCTCGGCCGCCGCCGCCTCGGCCGCCTCCCCCATCACCGCCGACGAGGCCGCCCGCGGCATCGACCGCATCGAAGACCTCCAGGAAAACCTCGCCGAGCTCATCCGTACGTGCGAGAAGAAGTTTGGCTCGCTCGTTAACTTTGGACGGACCGGCGGCGACGATGCCTCGTCGTCTCGTCTCCAGTCTGCCCGCATCGTCCACGCCCAGGTCGCCGACGACATGTTTCGCCTCTAGCAGCTGGCGAGCGGCTTGGCCTTGTCGGCAGCATGAGCGGCGAAAAAAAAGACGAGGCGCGCCGTCAACCCGAAAAAACATCGCCAAAAAGGGCTCCGCCGGCCTGCCCCCGTTGCCTGTGCGAGGGCTTGCTCTCACTTGAGCCGCGGCCACCACTCGTCTGCCCGGACAGCGGCCGCGGCAGCGACACTGCAGCAGCTTCCTCGTCACCAGCACCAGGCCCCTCTCCCTCTCCCGCCCCTCTCCTCTCTCCTCAGCGTGCTCCTCCGCTCTACCTCCCCCTGAATCTCCCGCTACACCACCACCCGTCTCCTCGCCCCGCCGCCACCTGAGTCGCCGAAAACCGACTTTTTTTGCAGCCTCTTTCGCATTCCTTTTCCGACAAACGCTCTTCGATTCCCAGCCCTTTCCGCTTTGTCACGGTCTGTGTCACGGCACGAGGCCTCGAAAAAATTTGCTCCTGATTGACTCGATCGTCCTCATGGCTCTCTCCACTGCCTCGGTCCACCAGGCGAGCGCCTCGCCGCAACATCCGGCCCCCGCCCCCACGGCTCCGTCATCGCCCTCGCCCTCGCCCTCGCCCTCGTCCGACTCGGTCCGTCGCCCTTCACGCCGTCGCGCCGCCACCGCCGTCAAGTCGTATCGCGAGGACAAGCTCGCCGCCGCTGCCAAAGCCACAGTCAAGAGCACGGAAAAAGCCTCCGTGCCGCCGTCACGCAAGCGCAAGCGCTCTGCCTCGTCGACCACGGCCTCATCATCGCCCAAAGCGACTGCTCGCGCCTCGCCGTCTGCGCCTCTCCCCGCATCCGCGCCTGTTGACAACAGCAATAGCAGCAGCAACGCGCCAGCCGGCCTTGCGTCGCCGTCTCCGGCACAAACACCTGCGCCGGCAGCAGCGACAACGTCGCCGACGCCTGCGGCGCAGAGCACCGAGAACGCTGCTCCCGACGCCGGCCCGCCGCGCAAGCGCGTCCGAACCCTCAACTCGTTTAAGCTGCCACCGGGCCCGCAGATTGTGCCCCCGGCGTCGGCTGGGCTCTCGGCCTGCCGGCACCTCCACTGCACCTGGGCGTCACACGCGTCGACCGCCCCCGCCCGCAAGGCCAACACCCTCATCCACGAGACCTCGTGGCAGAAGCACGAGCGCCACTACTTTCGCCACGGCTCCTCTTGCGGCCTCTGCTCGCAGATCATCTCCCGCGGCGACTGGCCCATGGCCAGCCCCGCCCGCTCGCCGGGCGCCTCGGGCCGCACCACCTCACTCCTGCCCTCGCCAACTGTCCGCGCGGCGCTCGGGTCGCCGGGCCGGGCGGCCACCTCGGTCGCCCGCAGCTCGCTGCACCCGCCCCCACTCGCCACTTCGCCTCGAGGCAACACTGTTGCGGCAGGGCCCAAGCCGGCATCGGGTGCCAAGCGGTCGCCGGCACGCTCAAGCGAGACCAAGCCGCGGTCGCGATCCCGGACATCCGGTACCGTCGGCAAGTGCTCGCACATCCATTGCAACTTTGAGTCGTCGCGCCGGCAGAACGTGACCCGGCACGAGGCCTCGCTCCACGCGCACCGCAAGCACTTTGCCCACCACTCCAAGGCCTGCGCCCGCTGCCACGAGTTTGTCTCGTCAGGTGCATGGCCCGCAGACGGCATCCTCACCCGCGGCACCACCGCAGCCACCGCCACCTCGGCCATCCGGCGCCAGCGCCTCGCCAACCGTGAGCAGGCTGCCCGCGGCGGCGGAGGCGGCCCCGTCCCCGCCCCTGCCCCCGTCCCTGCCCCTGCCCGCCTGTCACACCCAAAACCCGCTGCGGTCTCACCGCTCGCATCACCGCGCTTCACCATGGGCTCCAGTTCGGCCAAGCGCCGGTTTGAAGCCGCAGCCGCCTCCTCGCCGCTCGCCTCTACTCCGGTCCTCGGTCTCGCTGTTGACCCGTTGTCCGAGTCCCCGGCCCGTCCGCGATCTCCCCGCCGCAAGTCCACCAACTACAAGGCGCTCGTTTCCAAAGTCCTCCGCAAGCTCAACTCCAAGCCGGTCCCGTCTTCGCTCGAACTGGTCCGGCTCGCCTCGCTCTCCGACACGGTCGTCGTCGACATTCCACCCGACTTTGTCACCCGCTCCGAGGAGCGCGCAAAGACCCGTGCGTACCATCGCCAGCGCTACGGCGTCGCTTCCAACACAGACTCGGACTCGTCGTCAGACTCGTACTCTGTCGTCGACCGTACGCACACTCTCTCCTCCGCCTCTAGCGCCGCCGCTTCCGACTCGGCGCCGGGCTTCGCCGCAGACTCGGCTGCTCGCGCTCCGCTTGACCCGGATCGTCCCGCCCCGCCGCCCTTTGCCACCGCCCTTCCGCTGCCGACCTCGGCGTGTCCCGCAAAGCTCTCGGCATCGTTCCGCGCCCTCGACGGCGCCATTGCAGAGTTTGGCTCGACGCTCCGCAAGCCGGCTCCGCCGGCGCCGCCAGCCCTCCACAACCGCCTCGCAGACCTTGAGGACGCCCTCGACTCGATTGGCGACGCTCTCTACGTCCTTCGCGCCTCGCGCCGCCTCCGCCCCCGTCCGCTCGTCTTCCCTTTCACTAACCAACCCTAGAAACACTCTTGTTTTTTGTCACTCACTCACTCTCTCTCTCACAGCTCTGCCATCAGCACCTCGAGCGCGGTGTGCTGCTCCCGGCTGGCTCCCGACTCGCGCTCCTCGCTCGCCGCTGAAGCTTCGTCGCTGACAAGCAGGGCGTGGACAACAAGGACCTGCTGGAGCAGCTCCCACCACGCCTGCCACGCTGCTTGCACACGTGCCTGCTCCGGATGCGGAAGAACTCGCAGCAGCTCCAGATCCGGCGCAGCAAGTTTCTCTTGACCGGCCGCCTGCCGCGCCCGGTTCTCCTGCATCCAGTTCCGCCGCAGTGCCGTCTTGAGCTTGTCCACCACGTACTCGGCATGGATCTCGTAGTTTTCCTGCACAAGCTTGGCCTTGCGCACCCCGGCCACGCCTTCGCCTGCAGGGTTTAGCTGCCGCAGCACCTCGCCGCCCAGCAACGTCGCCGCCTCGGCCTTGAGCGCCGCCACGCGGCTCTCCGCCCCGCCGCCGCGAGCAAGCAGCGCTGTTCCGCCGTTGCTCTCTGCAAGCTTGGCGTTGACAAACTGCGACAGCGGGAGACCCATCTCGCGCCTACTGCTTGGATCAGGACTCTCGCCGTCACCGTCGGTAGCCATCGCGTCCTCCATTTGTGCCACAGCCTCGCTCAGCAAGTCGTGCTCATCCCCAACATCGACCGTGCTGTCACCGCCGACCGACGCGCCGAGGCCGAGGCCACCCACCGACGTCGGCGGGCTGCCGAGGCCAAAGTCGGTCGACGACGAGCCTGTTGGCAGCTTGCTCAGCCGGGCCACAAAGTCTGCCGGAGACGCACCCGAGAACGACGTACCCGTCCGGACACTCACTGACGAAAACGCCGGGCCGCGGAAGCCGAGCTTGCGCATCCGCGACGAGACCGAGACGCCCAGCCGCGACGAGCCGGCTGCACCTGCTGCCGCGCGCAACACGCCACTGCTCCCCTTTCCTTCCAGATCAGAGCCACCACTGCCGTTCCGCTTGCTCCCGCCGCGGGTGCTACTCCCAGAGCTCACCAACGAGTCAAACGATGGCAGCGCAGAGGCGCTACCTGGCGAGCCCGGGCGGAGCGAAGTGACGTGACTCGCCGAACCGCTGCCATCGCCACCCTCGACCCTAGGTGCTGGCGCAAATACACTGTCAACAACTCCTGGCCCGCTCGCCGCCAGCCGTCGGTTGCACTGGGCGCAGCCGAGCTCGCCTGATGCCAGCTGGCCGTGCCACGGTGACGAGCCGCGGATGGCGCCGTCGGCGCCCACAAGGCCCGCACCCTCGATGAATGGGCGGAGCAGGTGCAGGAGCCACTCAAGCTTGGCCCGTCCTGCCTCTAGAAGGGCAACACACGCGACCGACGACGGAACAACAGCCTGCGAGACACTCGCCGCCGCCACTGCCATCGACGGGCCAGGCAGCGGCCGCGCGGCGTGCCAAACCTCACGGATAACCAACGGGTCATTGACAAGCTTGCGCTTCTTGAACGCAATCTCCGGCGGCACCTTGCGCGGCTCATCACCGAGCGAGTACTCGAGCTGGTGTGTCGCAGTCCGGAGCCCCGCGTACGGGCCCACGAGATGTCCGTCAACTGAGCTCTCGCCGTCGGCCGACCGGAACGAGACGAGCGCAAACCCGTGGCTCGCGCCCTCCACCCCACGCAGCGGCGTGACCCACGATGTACCGGCGCTTCGACTTCCACGCATCGTCCGCTCGCCCGAGACCAGTGCCACCGCGTCCGGCACAAGAACTAGCGGCTTGCAAGAGACCTGGCTCTGTGACGCTATCAGCGGGTACACGTACAGCCCGCGCTCCGGAGAAAGCTGCGAGCTCGCCTCCCGGGCTGGGAGCACCACCGTCACGTCCATCGACGCCCACTTGGACCGCATTCGCATGCCAAAGGCCTCGACCGACTCGTCCCATGCTCCGCGAACCACGTGCCGCGAGTCGCGGAGCGTCGACGGCCACCCGGGACCGGCGAGGACTACACCGAACAGCCTTCCACCTATCCGCGGCACGTGTGCCGACCGCCACGCACACGCGCTTGTCCAGCGCGCCATCTGTAGCGACAGTGCGAGGTTCGCCTGCTGCTCAAAGCCGCGTGTCACTCTTCGGAGCACCCGCTGTGCCGCGTCCCAGTGTCCACCAGTCACCAGCGCGCTTGCGCCACGGACCATCACCGCCTGCGCACGCGCGCCCGAGATCGGCACCTCGCTCAGCGACGGAAGCTCAGCCACCCGCCCGCGCCAGACGTCGACCACCCGTGCAGTCGCAGCGACGCGGTCTTCGGCTGCGGCTGCGTCGACAAACAGCGCTTCAAAGACCAGCGTGTACCCGATGACTGCCGCCGATGCACCCGCAGCGAGGTATACATGCCGAAGGAGCCGCACCAGCGTCTCGTACCCGCCGCATGCACGGGTCTGAACGTCTGACGGGGCGTCGAGAATCGAGTCGACCATGGAGTACGCCACGTGAGCCACCAGCTCGGGCCCAGCACCCGGAGCAACAAGCGCCTCGAGCATCGCCCCTTGGGCCTCGACACGGGCGCCGAGCTCTTGCAGCCCGCGCTGGAGATCGGTCACAAAACCGGGCCACGAGCCGCCGCCGGCACGGACGGCTACCGGCGCATACCCGCAAAGAAGCGCGAGCCACGACGACATCTCCGGTGCTTGGCTCACGCTCCGGAGCTTGCGGACAACTGCTAGCCAGGCCTCGGTGGTAGCGGCTACCGAGGCACCCGGCCGAAGCCATGCCCACTCGTCAGGGAGAACCAGCCGCTCTCCGTCGTCGCCGGCACCGGCTGCCGCATCGTCGAGAACGACTGGCGCGAGATGAGCAAAGACAGCATGAAGCGCGCTGCCGAGTGCTGTCGGCCGCCCGCTTCCCACCGCCTCGTTGACATGCAGCGCGAGAGCAAGACTAAACGCAGCATCGACCATGGCGTGGTCCCAAGCATGTGGCCTTCCAACGCAGCCTGAATACTAGCGGCAAGAAGCTGCTCAGCAAGGCCCGGTCGCGATCGGAGCACGCCCTGTGAGACGAGAGCAAAGAGGCCCGCGAGCGCTTCCTGACGATGCGCAAGCGTGCGCTGAGCCAGAGCGTACTCGGCGTGGAATGCAACGGCGGAGAGTAGCGAGTCACCAAACAGTGACGGGCTCGCCACCCGGAGCTCGGCCGCTTGCACTTGTGCCACCAGCAGCTCGACAAGCGCGTCTAAGCACACCGCCTGTTCTCCTGGCACGCTGCGGCTCATGAGCGACTGGCCATAGTTGGCGAGCAGGAACATCGTGAGCTGCAAGCCGACAAGCGTCACCTGCGCCATGCCCGGGGTCGAGATCGCAAATTTCGAGTTAAACCGCAGCGGGAGACGGAGGAGCTCAACGAGAACAACAGGCCCGAGATGAGCGAGGCCCGACGGGTCCCTGCTTCCAGCACCCGTCCACGCCTCACGGACTCGCGCTGGCACCGCTGAAGCGCCACTGAGAACCTCATTGCGCCACGCGCGCGAGTCTTCGAGGCCGCTACAGAGCCCGTCGATAAAGTGCGCAAAGAGCGAGGCCGGGCCGGCACTGGCAGCAGTGCTCATCGAGAGGCGGACAACAGTCGCCTCGACAAGCGACGCTGTCGCTACAAACAGTGCGTCGAGCGAGCCAGCAAGGCCAACCGATGAGAGCCAGTGTGCATCGGCCATGACGACCGACGTCGAGCTAGCGAGGCGAAAGATGGCAACGCTGAGTGCAGCGAGGAGCGTGCCCAAGTCGCTGATGACGCCCGCGGTAGCGCGAGGCTCGGCTGACGGCGACGCCGCTACGCACGCAACCCGCTCGTTGAGGTTGGCGGAAAAGCCCGCGCCGAGCGCTGCCACAACATCCGCCAGCGGCGCGAGCGTCAACACCAGCAAGTGCGTCGACGCCGAGTGGAGGAACTCCGAAACAAGGCCGATGACGTCGTGCAACAGCAAGGCCTGTACCGCAAACTCATGCGGCGCGAGCGAGTCAAACTTGGACAGCGCATAGCCATGAGCGATAGCCTCAAGCACCGCATGCAGCCCATTGAGCCGCTCGACCTGGAGATCACCAGGCGCGCCGTGGTCCTCAGGTACAACGAGGGAGGTGGGGAGCAGTTCGCGCCAGAGCGCCGCAACTTCGGATGCCGGCAAGACAGCGAGTACGCCCGGATACATGCGCGATGCGGCGCCAACGGCAGTGCTCAGCTCGGCGAGCTGAGCAGCAGCGAGGTGGCGGTGGTCGGCGCGCCACACCGAGTTGGCGAGGCCATGGCCAAACGAGGAGGCCAACGTTGCCCAGTAACTTGCGTCGAGCTCGTTGGCAAAGTGCGGGGCCTGGCTTGGCGCGGCAGCCAGCGAAGCGCCAAGTGTGATCATGTAGCCAATGACGGTAGCAGCCGAGTGCCACTCGGGCGCAGCCGTGCCCGCATCGCTCGAGGGCTGTGCGAGAGGCTGAACCGGCGAGGCCGGGCGCGCGCCCTGGCAGACAAGCGCAAGTTTGGCGTCCAGATAGGCGCGAAGAAAGGCTGGGTCGAGACACTCCCACACAAACGAAACAAAAGAGTCCTGTAGCGCCTCGGATGCCGCGTGCGGGAGGGTCATGGCAAGGACGAGCGAGTGGAAGACAGCAAAAAGCGCAGTGAGCGCCCGGGGCTCGGCGGGATGGGCGCCCGAGTTGGTGGCGAGGTCGTAGAACTCGTTGATGCGGTAGGTGAGGAAGCCGTGGAACTTGTACAGGTCAAACGGGGATGCGTTGTGTAGCAGACGCCCACCCGATGCCACCAGTGTGGCCAGCTGGCCTGGCCCGATTTCGGGCTCGAGGAGAAAGTGGACGTTTGCGTCGTCAAGCACCTCCCCCGAGACCACATGGACGGCGAGCATGAGCGGCGTTGACCAGCCGGTGGCGACCGAGCCGGAAGGAGCGCCCGGCGGTGGGACACCGAGGTAGTACGGGACGGTCGTTGTCGGCTCTTCCTGCAGCGCATGGGCACACGCCGGTGTGAGGTCGGTCCTGTGCGGGGCACCTTGCCACATGCGATGTGGCGATGGCGCCGGCGGACTGCCCGGGTACACAACAAGCTCGTACTCATTGTCGGAGCGCATCTTGCCCTCACCAGCGTAGAGGTTGAGAAATGCATAGGCAAAGGTGGTCGATCCGGGCATGGGCTCGCCGGCGGGAGCGGCGGAGGCCGACGAGCTCGGCGCCACAAAGCGGAAGAGGAGATGGGCGGAAAAGTCAGCGAGCGAGACCGAGGGAATGTCAAACTCGATCATGTGGTTGGCCTCGCGGGTGGCGCGGGTGACTGGATATGAGCCGACAATGACCCAGCGCGAGGCGCCGTCGATGGCGGCGGTGGATCCTACGCCGTGGGCGAGTGACGACGCCGAACGGTTGAAAGCTTGGCCGAGGAGAACGACGAGTTGAGGTTCGGCGACGGACTGCCGTCGGCGGCAGAGTCACGCGCGACAGCTCGAAACGGCGCACCCGATCCGTCGAGCAGAGCGCATGTAATCCAGAACACTTGCGGGATGTCAATGTCGCCAGACTGAAGAACAAGCGACATCATGGTCTTCATGTGGAGCGTGACGTAGAGGTTGTTGCGAACATGCGGCGGAATGACGTCGTCGGTCTCGAGCGCCATCGACGAGGTCGGGTAGTACGAGACAACCTCGCAGCAGTCTTCGAGGACGACGCCCTCGAGGGCGGCCGAAGTCGGGACGACACTTCCGGCCTCCATGGCGCGGGCGGCAGCGGCTAGCGCCTTGTCCATCACTTTGGTGGGAAGGAGCGAGCGGGCAAGGGCACCGAGCTGGAGCGTGCCGTGAGCCGGAATGTCAATGCCTGCGGCGGCGACTTCGGGCGTGATGACCGGGGTGGGGAGTTGTGGTGGCGATGGAACGAGGGTAAAATGGAACTCAAGCGGGACAAAGAGCGCCTCGTCCGAGAGGTGCGCATAGACGTCGGGCATGATGGCTTGGAGCGCGACGGTGACGTTGACCTTGCGGTGGGGGACAACAACAGTGGTGGGGAGGAGCGGGTTCTCCGACGCTGACTCTTCAAAGCCTGACGACGGCTGGCGCGGCGGAACAGGGCCAAACTGGGCCTCGAGCGCCGCCGCAAGGCCAATGGGGTCGGTAGAGGCAGCATGGTCTCCGACCGGAGCGTCAAAAAGAGCCGCGAGGCCAGCGCCTCCAGCCGACGTCGCCAACGCGTTAAGCAGAGCGTTGGGCGAGGTGGGGCGGAGTTGAAGCGGGATCTTGACTCGTGCGAGTGGAAAGAGGCCGCGAAAGAGAAAGACGGTGAGGTAGACTGCCGACTCGGCGAGGCCAGCGGTGGCGTTGGAGAAGAGCGCAGAGAACGGGCCTTCGTGGCAATGATCGAGTCATCCAGCGGGTGAAGCGGGACGTCCTCGAGGCCTGGAGCGAGCGCGTGCTCGGCTGACGTGTGCGAGTGGTGGTAGTGCGGGTGGACGAGCTGGGCGCGGGCGAGTGCGGCGAGCTGTTCGCTCGACGGCGCAGGGTCGACCAGCGGCTGCACAGAGGCCGGCGATACCTGGCTTGGGTTGACAAGGGCGTCAAGCGAGATGTTGTAGTCGTTGGAGATGCGGACGTCACGATCATCCCAGAGCGCGATCTTGAGGCGGAGCTTTCCAGGCGAGGGCGGAAGATCAAGGAGAGCTGAGACACGATCGAGGGCGGTGAGAAACGAGGCACCGAGAGGACGCGACGAGACCAGCGTGGCCATGAGCGACATGGGCTCAGGCGACGGAACAGGGCCGAGCGCAAACGGGCGCCAGCCCGGAAGCATCCGCACAAAGTTGTCGCGGTAGATCGATGCAGCAGCAATCGACGGCATGGGTGAGGCATTCATGTGGCGCATGTAGCCCTCCCACACCGGGGAGCAGTCTGGAACGCTCGGCAGCTGGCGAAGCCTGTTGCTCGTGGCCGGAACGTCTGGGTCGGCGATGAGGCCAGCGAGCGCCGGACGGGCTGGCTTGCCCCGGCCGAGGTCCCAGGTGAGATGCGGCGATGTGGAGGCGAGAGAGAGCAGTGGTGGAGCGCGCGCGGTCTCGGGCTCGCCGGTCTCAGAGACGGTGAAAACGAACGGCTTGGTGCGGAGAAGGAACATGGCCGGTAGCGGGGTGCGGGCAAGAGCCGGGACGGCGCGTGACGGACGGGCAAAGGTGGCGATCCACTCCCGAGCGACCGCGAGCGAGGCTAGCGCCGGCTGCGATGGCGACGATGGCGCCGGGACATGTGGAATCATGACCGGCGGATTCGACTCAATGGCGACGACGGCGTCAGCTGGCGCCAGCCAAGACGTCTCGCCGGTCCGGGCGCAGTAGTAGAAGTAGAGGTTAGTCTGAGGATCGAGGTAGCGGGCCCATCCGGAGCGAGACGAGAAGAGTGCGAGTTGGATGACGTGGCGGTCGTCGGTGTCTGGCTGAGTGACCGGCGGCATGAGCGACGGATGAGTGGTGGTGGTGGTACCCGAGGCGGCGTCGGTGTAGAAGCAAGAGAACGAGGCCAAATCGACCTGCCGCTGCCAGCCGGCCGGCAACGGGACGTCAACGTGCCAATGGTTGGCGTCAAGCGGCTTGGAAGCGGCGGCGAGGTCGGGATCACCAAGGTGCTCCGTGAGGCGGGCAGACTGTGTCCTGTCAATAGGCTCCGGCGGCTTGTCTGCACGCAGTTCTGACGCAACGATGGCAGTGTCGAGGGCGGCAGGAGAGAGCGATACAAATGGGATTGATGAGTTGAGGACATCGTCCAGTCGGATGACGCTGGCATCAAAGTTGGCAGCAATCGACTGGGCAACGATGTCGTTCGACGGCTGAGCACGGAGCTCAGGGTAGGAGACCGGAGCGTCCGAATCAGTAGGCCCATGTGTGCCGGCTGCATGCGGTTGACGGGCGGTGCGGCGGCGGAGGTGGAGCTTGTGAGGAGAGACTGGTGATTGATGCGGTGCAGCGGCCGGCTTGGGTGGCGGCGACGGCGATGATGGCGACGACGGCGGCGAGGCCGATGATGACGATGGCGTTAACGGCGGCGAGATTGCTTCGGGCGCGGGAAAGTCCGACGATTGGATGGCCGGAGTAGCCGGGACAACGTTGACCTTGGGAAATGGCGGTTCGGCGGGTGTGGCTTGTGGGCGACCGCCACGGCGCTGTCGAAGCAGCTTGAGCCGCTCAGCACGCGGGAGCTTGGCGAGCTCAGCAGATGAGAGCGTCGACGAGCCAGACGCGCTGTCGTTGCGCTGTGCATTGGCGGTACTGGGATTGCGGCGGGCGCGAAGGCGAGCAAGCCGCTCTTCACGGGTGAGCGGGCGCGGAGAGCTGGTGTCATCCTGTACTGACTCGCCGTCACGGACGCGACGGAGGCGAGCCAGGCGGGCGGCGCGTGACTCGGTAGACTGCGAGTGAGCGGCGCGTGCGGCAACAACGGCATCAGCAGCACCGGTGGGGCCAGAGGTGGTGACAATGCGGGAAGAGCGTCCAGTCTTGCGGGCGGCGACCAGGTCGGCGATGGCGCGGGTGTTTGGCACGGGCGACGGGTCGGCGAGCTTAGTTTCCGAACCAGAGGTCGAGACCACAACTGCAAGGCCGGAATGATGTGGCGGCGAGCTTGAGCTCGACGGAGTCGGCGAGCTCGACGAGCTGGACGATGAAGAAGAGTGCGAAGCCGAGGGCGATCGCGATCGTGAGATGTGGCCGTCGGACGATGAGTCTGAATCGGAGGCTGATGAAGGGAGCGTGAGCCGAAACGACGCCGGAACAGCAAGGGTTGATCGCTTTGCCATTCGTGCGGCATCACGGGCCTTGGCCGACGTCGGGCTGTGGTTGTCCGCCGTCTCCTTTGACCTCCGCCCGGGCGAAGCAAACGACGCCAGATCGTCTTCAAGCGAGGCGAGTGTACCTCTTCTTCCCGATCGCCATTTCTCCGGAGAACCATTCGCTGCATGCGGAGAGAGAAAGCCAACCGAAGAGCGACCAGCGCCATGGCTGTGACCAGCAGGAGCAGGGGCGATGGACATGAGCCGGGTTGGTGCCTTCTGTCGCCTGTGCGTAGACTCGCCTGTGGGGCTTGCCTCGCCTGTTGGACGTGATGCTGACGACCGTGGTCGGAGCAGTGCCCGTCTTGTCCGTGGAGATGCGCTTGACATAGGTACTGTGGCGGTGTGTGGTGCGGTGGGAGGGGTGTATGTGTATGTGTATGTGTGTGTGTGTGTGTGTGGGGGGGGG